TATATAATATAGTAAGTATGCAAGTCAAGTTTTAATGATTGCTCTTCGAGACAAACTATAACTGTGCATCAGTTTTGGAATCTTTTGATATCGTACAGAGCCGTGAGTGACTAAAATAAGCTTAGCAGTCCGCCGAGGGGGTTTTCTGAGTCAGGGAACCACTTCTTTAGCGCTCAAAAGTTTAGCTGTCGTGTCTAAGTATACAACACCGCAGGCAACGGCAAAAGAAACACCTCTGTTCGTAGAATTTTACACCAGGCAGGTTAACCCGAAGTTTATTTCGGTCCAACAGTCTGCCAAAATCGGTGAACTGGACCTTGTATACTATCGCGGTTTCAGAAAGAAGCGAAATGTACTCACAGTGGGACTTGTTTAAAATATTCGCGACCATTCGACAGCTTTAGAATTCTAAAGACCTCTGCTCAAAAGGGAGCAATTTATAGGTGTTTTAGGGAATATTCATTTGTGAGGAGTATTTTTCATTAGTTATACCCCTATTAGTGCATAACTGAAATTCGCGAATCTTCATGTCACATGATTAACTACCTTTAATTGATGTAGCTGCTGACAACTTTTTCTTTATTGAGATTTCTTTTCTCTCCAAACCAGCAGACATTGGCTTCTGTTGTATTTGTTTTTGCTTGTATTATTTCTAGCTTTTTTGTAAACTCTAGGATTGTCATATAAGTTTTACCGAAACTCTCTGGAGGTTCAATAATCGTGGAAGAAACATTGTAATTGCTGGGCATAGAGCGTTCGTGCCTGGTAAATCAACAGTTGTTGAAACTGCAATGTTTCTGTCAGCGAAAATGATAGAGGTTTATCTGTCTGAGAACAGCTGCCACATGACTGCATCCCTCATACTGGATCAAAAGGAAGCCCCCCCCCACAGTAGTGCCAATAGAACAAGAGAGGATATGAACCTAACTCAGCGCGCCATTGATTTATTTATAACTGTTTAACACCGGGACAGAAGCTTGAAATAATGCCGAATGTCTTTCATCCTCAGAGAATGTTTACCGATCGCTACTTAATCTCAGGTCACAGAACAGGTAAGGTACTGCGGTGCAATAGGATTATCATGCTAATAAATCGATGTTGTGGTTCAACGTTTCAGATTTTCACACCCTGAATGCAGCAAACATAAATTGATCAGGTTTTAGAGCAGATGTCAGTTTTTTGAAAAATTTTCCGACTGAAACGCATCCGACTTATCATTCTGATAAATCTGATATTTTATATTATATTCTTCGCTACTAAGTTCATGTGAAAGGTTTTGTTTCTGTTGGTTCCCGTGTTTCGTGATGTGTCTTGTTTCCGTTTGATAATGTTCAGCATTTTTTCTAATTCAGCTGCAGAGGCTGAGTAAGTTTCCTCCGATTGACCATATGCTACCCGAAGAAATGCAGGAGTACTTAGAAGACCCCCAAAAGAAAGAAACGGGTAAGTAAAGCATTTGAGCTTATTCGATTTTCTCATCGTATTTTCAACGGCTGGTCAAATTTTAGCGATCCTGGCGATTCGTTATGGTGACCCTGTCGAACAGTACTTGACCCTGGGTTACAAACGCGTTTTCTTGATGAAAGAAGATCAAGGCGAGTTCAACTCAAAGTTCCAGTCGAACTTGACGAACATGGTTCCTGAATAATAAAGCAATGTAGTGAAATATTTTT